CGGTGGGGGCGGGGAACTGGGGGCCGGGCCGTGGCGGCGCCGAGCTGTGCTCGCCCCTGACTTTAACTTTCTGGGTGCGGGCATGTGTGCTGGAGGCGCGCTGGGCCGGGGGCGGGAGGCGGTCCGGGAGGTTCCGGGTTGGCTCGCCAGCGCCCCCTTTTCCCTGCCCCGCTCCCCGCCCCTGAAGGGACAGGCCCTCCGGGCCCCAGGCGGGAAGAGGGAGGGGCCCTCGCGGCCGGCTCGCCACGGTCACGCCCCGAGCTCGGGGACACTCCTCTCCGGGGCCCCTGGGGTTTACTGGGGGAGGGGGCTAGGGTCGTCGCTGCGGGCTGTGGCTCCCCGCCCCCCGCCCCCCGTCCCCCGCCCCTCCGGGGAGTCCCGGAGGCGCCTCTTCCGAGATCGGGGGTGGGTCGGTCCCTGCTTAGCTGGTCCCTCCCTCTTCCCCTCCCCCCCAGTGGTTTCCGGGGCCTGCGGGACCAAGGGGCAGGAATCGGGGCCGGAGCCCCTTCCTAAGGCCAGCATCTAGACTGGGACTGACGCCTTCTGGGTCCGTCTTTGGCAGGGGAAACTTTCCCAAACCACAGATAGAGCCTAAACGCCCTCCTCCGCCACCTCGTCCTCTAATCCCACTCCCACTCCACCGCCTCCAACACCTTCCCCTCCCACCGACCCGAATCTTGCTGTGGCTGACTGATGGGGCAGTGAGCCAATCGAAGGCGGGGAGCTGACCTGCCGGGTGTCGGTAAGCCAATCGTGAGGTCCAGAGAAAGGAAAGGGGCGGGGTTTCACCCGGACCAGTGGGAGCGGAGTTGCGCGCGGGGCGGGGGAGTCATGGAGACGCCAAGAGCTCTCCACTCTTGTTCATCCCTTGTCACCCGCACCTTGCTGGGGGAGTGTCACTTACAGGAGCTCTGATCCGGGGAGACACATAGAGGTTCACGAGATCGCATATTGTTCTCATGTGGCAAGGGGTGGTGTCTTAGACACGACGAAGTCTGAAAGGCACTTTAGAATGTGGCAGTAACTCTCCAAGTCCGGTACTAAAATGCTAAGTATTTTAATCGTGTCCTGGATCTCAGCGCCGGGTTTACGTGTAGAGGATCATAGACGTTATCAGTTTACCAACGTGTCAGTTTCGCACTGCCTCTCCAGTACTGGGACAATGAAATTTGAAAGGCTACCTTGAGAATGAAGGAACAAGGTAGCTTTGCGTCAACTGATTATTGGAGTGCAAAGCATCATTGTTTGTGATGGCTTCACTGGTTCCTTGTTTAATTAAACCACCAGTTCCCAAAGCGCCTTTGAAAGTTCGGTATTTGGGGGATGACATTAAAAAAAAGTTGTGGTTGTATGCTGTGCGGATTTTGTTGTTTTGTTTTAGCTCTGTCTTGGGTAAAGAAAATGAAGTTAGGAACCAAAGCTTCAGGGAAACATTAAACATGAGTATTTAAGGAGCAAAGCTAGTCAAAGAATATTTGTGTGTGTGGAGGAGGGGAAAGTCTGAGTAAAATGTAGTTTGCCAGCTTATACCCACACAAAATTCTTAAAAATAATTTTAGTTGTCTTAAACAACTGCTGAATTGTACAGCGTGTGGATACTTTCCTGGTCTACGCGCTGTTAGGCATCGTGTTTGGTTGGGTGATCTGTTTGTTGAGTTCAGGAAAGTGACTTTCTCAACTTTTGAGTTTTAAGAACAGAGAGGTTATGGCTTCGATTCTCTGAGAGGATCACAGGTTGCTCTGTGGGATATCAGTCTTAAAAAGACAGCAGCTGTTACAGTGCTTTGTGTGTCTGTGTGTATGTGTGTGTTCCTGTTCTTTGTTAGTGAGGTTAGTGTATCCCGACAGCAGCAACTCTTCTTTTTTCAACTGGCATTTGTAGGATCTTTAAGAGGTCAGAGAGTGAACAGCGTTATATGAAGGATGAATCTGTTCATTTTCTTGGGAATATGTATGCTATGAAATTAATTTGGTGATTTTTAAAAGATATTTTATGACATTCGTTATCTGTATTAGCTTATCAGTCAAGCTTTTATTACTACTAGGTTATGAAGAAAGAATCAATAGACTGTAGTTTTAGGGAATGTATTCTGTTGCAGTACACCATTTTCAAATTCGTAATATGAATTCCCAATCCAGTATGATTTTGAGTGTTCATGGAGACAAATTAATTGCATTTTGGTGTACTCCTAGAGGTGCTATTTTAGTGATAAAAGTCAAAGCAAAAAAAAAAATATTAATTTAGATTGATAGAAGTAAAGCTGTATTGTAAATTAAGCCATTCCACAATTTGATAACCTTCAGCCCCCCATGGTCAATTTAGTTACTGAAACCCACTCTGATGTGTGCCTCTCTTGCGTTTTTGTACGTTTAAAGAGCATTATTTTATTTAGTTCTTTACTCTGATCCTTGAAAATGTTCTCAGATTCTTGGGGGTAGAGAGTAGCAAGTCCCTTAATGCCTGGCGAGGGGAGAAAAAAGCCTTGCTCAACCATATGGAGACATCTAGAAAAAGATGTGCGCCGTCAGCTGTGATTCCATTGTGTGCTCTCTCAGACTGGATCTGAGCCTTTTTCCTCCTGGGAATTTCTGTCTTAAACAGAGGAGTTCTTTGACTGTTAGATGGCAGGATACTGAAGCAGAGGGTAGAAAAGAGCTCACCAATTATGAATTTAATTTTTTTGAGTAGTCAGTATTTTTTAATTTTAATCCTTCATTGGTTAAATATAAATTAGGTAACTTTGTGTTAGGGGAGTCTTTTACTAGAAATATAAAATGTAAAAGGTGGAAGGAGTTGGTTGGCTTTTTCTATAGTTATGTCTTACTAAAGCTTTCCCAGTCCCAGTGGAATAAAGGATCTATGAGCAGACTTCATTACACACTGTATTTAAGGATTCAGGACCTTACCTGTTTCAAATCACTTAAGGCTGAAATGTGTCCTGCAAGTTGACAGCTTGCATTTCTTGGAAAAAATTATTTTTGTTATATTAAACATAAAAGCTCTTTTAAGCAGTCCTTTTTAGAATGTTGGGTACAAAAAAGAAATATGGCCTCTTTAAACAATTTTTGTAGAAGATTAATTCTCTGAAATTTGCCTGTGTCCTTATTTGATATTTTGACAGAAAATTCTATGTCATGATTAAAATTGTATCTTAAAGTATAATTAATGTTTAGTTGTTATGACAAGACTGCTATTGAATAAATTTTAGCTTTTTGATATTTTGTGTTTATGATTTTGTTTTGTACTGTGTTATTACATGCTTTACTGATTTTAAATGAAGAGAATAGGAGGGAGAAAATAAGTCACTGCTTTAAGATACTGTTTTTTTTTATTACAGTAAATCATAAAATCAGCAAACCAGGAATCTTTTTCTCTAACACTGTTTTACCTTTTTTTTGGGGGGGGCATTGCTTGGGGTGGAACCCAGGGCCCTGATCGTGATAGGTAGGTGTTCTTCCACTGACCTGCGCTCCTACCCTGATACAGTACTGATTTCCATGCATATAATGAAAGCCTTGTAAAGGAACAAAACAAAACCTTTAATTCTTTATACTTGCTTTTAAAAACAATTTACTTTCTTTATAAATTTTCTTATCTCAAGCTAATTTTATGTCTTTGGCTTGCTTTTCTAAACAAAGTGATGTTTTTAGTGTTTGTATATTTAGTTCCTTTTTTGTTTGTAAGACCTGTAGGAGGGTTTAAGGATTGCAAACTGTAGGCAGACTATCATATCATTACTCTCAGAAGTCTTTTAAAAAGTAATGTCAGAAGGGACTGGGGAGATGGCTCAGTAGAATCAGCTGGAGCATGAGTTCACTGCGGTTCCGCCAAAAAAAAAAAAAAAAAGTAATGTCAGAAAATCTGTAAAATACAATTTTAGCATCACACATCTTCAGTTTGGACAACATAGAGAATATGCATACTAATTTCTAGACAGAGGGCTGAATGTGACTTCTATCGATATTTTAGAAGTTTGTGTAGTTTTCCTAGGTGTTGTAAAACTTCTGTT